ACGAACCCATCACAACCCGTCCGTGCAAACCGTCTCCATCGGGCTCCGGTTCGGAAAGCCGCTCCTGAATTCTCTGTCTCCTGCTTCCCGCAGGAACCACAAGCCGGGCCGAGGTGCTGCGCACCGCGAAGGGGAGCATTGACGGTCACAAACACTGCACCTACTACAGTGAGAAAGCTCGACTCTCCTTCAGGCATGAGCTGGGATCCGCCATCTCCGTCATTGACTCCACCAACTGAGGCAGGTGGCCTCCGCCTCCCAGCTTCAAACTGCGGCTCCTCGGGGCAAATCCCACGGGAATCCGGGTTTGGGGGCTGGGGGGGGGAGTTGGGTGGGGGGGGGGCAGGGGCAATTTGCAAACATATCATACAGACTGATACATTTGATCATATGGTCCACTCCACCGTCCTGAGGCCACTTCCTTTTCATTTGGCATTGCTCGGCCCGCAGAAGGTGCGGGTGAGTTGCTGCCTTGAACCACCGCAGCCCAGGGGCTGTAGAGATTAACAAGCACATTCGGGGAGGAATTCCGGGATTTAGATCCAGTTGCAGTAAAGCAACAGCAATATATTTCCAAGTCAGGGTGGTGTGTGACTTGTATTATCGGGGCTGCCCCCGTCCAGGGCAAGTGGGGAGTATTCCATCACCCTCCTGCCTTGTGCCTTGTCGATGGTGGGACAGGCTTTGGGGGGGGAGTCAGGAGGGGAGTTACTCGCTGCAGGATTCCCAGCCTCTGACCTGCTCTTGTAGCCCCTGTGTTTGTGGTGAGTCCAGTTCAGTTTCTGGTCAATGGTAACCCCCAGGAATATTGACAGTATTGAATGTCAAGGGGGTGATAGTTAGATTCTCTCTTGTTGGAGATGATCACAGTCTGGTATTTGTGTGGCGTGAATGTTACTTGCCACTTGTCAGCACAAGCCTGGATATTGTCCAGATCTTGTTCCATTTGAACTGCTTCTGAGTTTCTGAGGAGTCATGCGTGGTGTTGAACATTATGAACATCCCCACTTCTGACCTTATGATGGAGGGAAGGTCATTGACGAAGCATCTGAACATGGTTGCGCCGAGGACACTACCCTGAGGAACTCCTGCAGAGATATCCTGGAGCTGAGATGACTGACCTCCAACAACCAGAACCATCTTCCTATGTGTCAGGTCTGACACCAACCACCAGAGAGTTTGCCCCCTGATACCCATTGATTCCAGTTTTGCCAGGGCTCCTTGATGCCACACTCAGTTGAATGCAGCCTTGAATATCAAGGGCTGTCACTCTCCCCTCCCCTCTGGAATTCAGCTGTTTTGCCCATGTTTGAACCAAGGCTGTAATGAGGTCAGGAGCTGAGTGGCCCTGGCGGAACCCAAACTGGGCATCACTGAGCAGGTTATTGCTGAGCAGGTGCTGCTTGATATCACCGTTACTGACACCTTCCATCACTTTCCTGATGATTGAGAGGAGACTGATGGGGTGGGAATTGTCCAGGTTGGATTTGTCCTG